CTTGGGTGCCAAGTGCTATTAGAATAGGCAAAGGGAAGGAGAGAGACTGGGACATTAGACTCAGACGCCAGTGCCAAAGCTGAGTGGGGCCTGGAGGCCGACTCCGAGGTGGAGGTGGAGAAACTGAGTTCCATTGAGAGGTCTGTTCACATCCAGCCCTAAAGGAAGCCCACAGGAAGAACCCAGATCTCTGAGAAGAAATGCCTGCTGGACAGGCTTTGGGTCAGATGGAAGTCCCACTCCTGAGGCCACGGGACCAGCTGCAGTATCTCAGATGGGTGTGCAGGGGAGTCAGGCGCTGACAGGGTGTGAAGCCGCTGATTAAAGTGGCATGTGAGGTTGGGCTTAGAGAACGAGCTCTGGCCTGGGCTACTAAGAAACATTTCTGCACCTGCGGACAGCTGTCCCAAGCTTCACCCTGACTGCACCAACCTTGCTTTTCTAGATCCCTAGTTGCCTCAGAGAGAAGGAGCCAGGTTTGCTTCTTAAATGGGGGTGGGGGTGTGGGGTGTGGGGGAAAGGTGGTGTAGGGGAGGCACAGGGGCAGTAACCTGCCTGATGGCACCTAGTAAGTCAATGACAGGGCCTTGTCTTCCAGCCCAAGGGCCTGTACTCCCTTCTAATCTTGAGGGTGGCTCAAAGGTGTGCAAAGGTGTTGGAGGAATTCACTTTGGGGCACAACGATCTAGGTCTAGTGGGCCTCAGGGGTCACACTTCCTGCTTCCTCTCTCGCCTGTCCTGGCAGGTTCTCGGGCCTTCCTCGGAACTGTAAGACCGTGCCCTCCCAATTCTTGTTAACACTAGGAACATGTCTGAACGTGCTGGGTGGGGTTTGGCCTCTCTTGTGTTTTGGATTGGGGATGGGGTAGGGGAGGCTTCCTCCCAGGTCTCTGCCTTATCCCATGTAGTTAGTATCTTGAGAATGTTAAAACCGTTTTGGCTTCTCCTCTGAACTCTGGCTCCATAGGTCCATTTGCCTTCTGGACATTTGCCTGGGTGGCTCCTGGCCCTCCAGAATGCTTCTTCAGTGTCCCCAGCTGGGAGATGTTTGTGTTCAGCCAGGCCACTTGGCTGGGTGCTTCGCTTGACTCCTCTCCACCACAAGCAGTCCTCAAGTCTTGTTGATCTCACTTTCCAAGTAGTCATGTCCCCTGGCCTCCAAATCCCACCGCTGGAAGACATCCATTCCCCTCCTAACTGCCCAAGTGGTCATTCTAGCATCAAACCTGACCATGACCAACCTTATTTCCGGACTCTTGAGAGCTCTAGTGGGCCCAGAATCAAAGTCAGGTGTCCAAACTCCTGTCATTCAAGGCCTGGTTTGAAACTCTTCAGGTCCAGATCAAGTCACTTTGGTTTTTTTCCTTCTTCCTGTAAACTCAACTTTTGGGGTGGGGTGATCTGGTCTAGCCCCTACGCTCTGGTGACTGGAGGGTGCCTGCTGAGGGCTTTGAAAGGAGCCTAGCAGTTTGGGAACCACAGCCCCAGAATATGGTGGGAGAGCTCTAGAACCCTCTTCTGCCTCCTCCACTGCACAAGAGCAGGGTCTGGGGCTGACAGAGAAACCCCCTCCCCCTCAGGGCCCAGCGTCTTGGGCCTGCAGTCCACAGCCTTCCTGAGCTAGCCCCAGCCTCACCTCACCTCCCAGTTCCAGTCCTGTAGTGGACACTCATCTCATGGACATATATCCATAGTACCTTCAGGCCTCTGCCTCTGTCCCTTGGCCAGGACAGCCCTGCCTCTCCTTTCTGTGCAAGTTTGAACTTCTCTTTTTTTGGAGCATCTCTAGTCTTGCCCTTGACAGGTTTGGCTCAGCAGTGAGCTGCCTCAGCAAAGTACCTGCACTTTTTTTTTTCAGGGCCTGACCCCTTCTGCCCTGTGTGGTCCCTCCCCTGGGACACAGGCCCCCCATCTATAGCATCCTGGCTCTTGGACCGGGAGTACATGTTGACTAAGGCTGGTGCCTGACACTAACAGGAAGGGGACAGAGGCTAGGAGAGAAGGTTGCATAGGTGGGTTGTGGCTGAGTTCTGAGTCTCAGCCCACCGCAGGTCTCCCAGGGTGGTGACCAGCTGGAATCCTGCAAAGGGCCCTGGGCTCCGCCCCCTTGGCATGGCTCTGAGCTGGCCCAGCAGCCTGAGGCTGCTGCTGGACAGACCAGATTCATTGTCCACACACCCACCTGCCCCCAACTCCTTTTTTCCTTTGCCAGCAAAGAGTTGAAATTCACAAGCTGCGTCAAGGTGAGAATTTAATACTGGGCTTCAGTATTGGAGGTGGAATTGACCAGGATCCCTCCCAGAATCCATTCTCAGAAGATAAGACAGACAAGGTGAGGGGGACCAGGGTCCTGGGACTTTTCCACTGGGGACAAAGGCCTGAGATGGTGGATCTCTGTTTCTAGGGCCTTCATGGAAGGAGTAGACCTGTGTCTTTCAAACAGTCCTAGGAAGGTTTAAGAAATGATAAGTAGGGATGGGGGTGGGGAGTAGACCTCCCAGCCCTAGGAAGACTCACTCAGAGCCCAGGAGGAACAGGAAGAGGCCAGCAGCAGGGGCCAGAGCATGGTGGGGCAGCTCTGTTTTGGCACAGCCTGTACTGGGGGGCAGACTTGGTGCAGAGTCAGTTGGATGGCTGGGAGTTTGCCATGCTGGGCTTTGCTCTCTGGATAGGTGCCAGTCCAGTGACACTGGGCTTTGACCTGGGCTGTTTCTTTCCAGGGCATTTATGTCACACGAGTATCTGAAGGAGGCCCTGCTGAAATTGCTGGGCTGCAGATTGGAGACAAGATAATGCAGGTAACACATGTCCCAAAGGAGGAAAACAGGGCTTGGGCCCAAGGGTCTGAAGCACTCGGGGTTAGGGGCTGCCCCTGCCTCCTGAGGCAGCTGGGAGACTCCCTGAAACCATCGAGAGTGCATGCTGGTGCTGCTCCCAGAGGGGGCGGACTCTCTCCTCTGTGTGCCTCATCTGTGGTGCTTGGCACCCCCCAGCCCAGACACATCAGCCTGGGAGCCTGCTTGGGTGACCCAGGACCCCAAAACCCGTCCTGCTTCCAGATCCCAGACAGCAGAGAACTGAGGTAGGCTGTATTTTTTTCCTTGGGCCAGGTGAATGGCTGGGACATGACCATGGTCACGCACGACCAAGCCCGGAAGCGGCTCACCAAGCGCTCGGAGGAGGTGGTGCGCCTGCTGGTGACGCGGCAGTCACTGCAGAAGGCAGTGCAGCAGTCCATGCTGTCCTAGCGGCCCGCCACGGTCCCAGACTCGTGCCTGCCTGCCTACAGTGACACCACTTCCACGCTCTGTCTGCCCCTCATCCTGGCTTCTGCGGAGTACTGCGCTCCAGCTCAGAAGGGCCAGAGCTGGTCCCAGAGGCCTGTCCCTGGGACCTGACCCAGCCTTCCTTCCCCACCTCCCGCCACTGGCCCGAGGCTCTGGGACCAGCTCTCGTCCTCAGACACTGAGAATTGTCAAGTCTGTAGCGACCACAGGCTTGGCCCTCAGACCCCTGCTGCATGGCCTTAGCAGGGCCCAAATGGGCAGAAGGCCCCCCACTTCTTGAGAGCCACCACAAAGCTGGGGAATGCCGGCTGGGGCCAGCCTTTCCCACACTGAGCCCTGGCTGCAGGGCTTGGCCTGGCCCCCCGTTATCTCAGCTCTGCAGTGACTACCCCATGTTTTTTCCTGCCTTCCCCAGCAGGGACTTGACATATGGCCAGAGGCACTACAGAGCTTGGTCCAAATGGAACCCAGGCAGGCTCACAGTTGACCCCATCACCTCCCACCCCCCCCCCGCCCGGGGGGCGCTGGCCTCCCCAGGGTTCACCTGCTCAAAAGATTTAGATGAAGTTTGAGGCTGACATTTCAGGGCAGTTCTCAGGATTGCCATTTCCTTCTATGCCTGTGGGTTTAACTTTATATTTTTTTAATCACAATTTTGATAGAAAACCATTTTTACCTTACTATTTGGAGATGCCAATTCTACTCCTGAATTTATCTTACTAATTCACATCTGGAAATAACAGCGTTGCTTTGGTTCCTGTGGAAATGGGGTAGTATGAAACTGCCCCATACCTGACATCTTGGGCCCAAATAAAACAGTGCTGGAGTTCACAAGGGGTTTTTGCTGAGGCACAGGGTAGGGGTGTCTGGGGTGGATGGTGGCTAGAGCTTCGGTTGTAGGGCTGACTACCCTGGCCCCCAACCCCTTCTGAGACGAAGCCCTGCTGATGCCAGGCCTGCCACTTACTGTGCGGCCAGGGCCACATTGGTGGGAACATCGGGAGCACCTTCACTGGAAGGTCCCCTGTGTAATTCAGCTTGTGCTCCACCCGGGAGGGGCTCCTGGGCACTGTGGGGTTCATGGGAAAAACCCCTACCCCCTAAGACTCTTGAGAGCGTACAATTATCACAGACAGGAGTGCGGCTCCACATTTCCAGGGACTGTGGTCTGATGAGACGGGGCTAAGTTGGAGACCCGCCCGGGGCCTCTGCCTGGCCCAGCACTGGTTGCCCTACCAGCTCTTGGACTTACTGTCATTTGTGGACCCACCTACAACTGCCAAATCCAGCTTTTCGAAGTTTCAAATCTGAAATCTCCCATTTCTACAATCTCTGCTTTAGGGAAACAAAATCCTAAATTCTCTGATAATGTGGATAGAGGAATCATTGAAAAATAAGACACCCTCCCTTCCCCCTCAGTGAGAGTGCCCTTAACCCATCCAACCCATGCTCACAACCCCAGCTTGAGCACCATGCCCTGTAGAGACATGGCACCCGTGTGACCTCCCTGGCCCTGAGCAGGCAGGCATCTTGCACTACCCAAGAGGCTTCCCTTGATGAACTGCCAGGTCAGTATGCAGCTACCTCGCCATCAGCATACTTTGTAACCCATGCGTTTCCTTACATGAAGTGAGTAGGGCTGTCTCCCTAAACCCTAAGGATTGGTTCTGAAGCCAACACACCTGTCTCCCACATCTGGCAAAATGCTCCGTGTGCAGAAAGGAAACAAATCAGGTTTTAATTAAGGATATACAAGCACCTCATTAATCTTGTAGTAAAAAGTCTAAGAGTGAGCTGACAAGGCACATCCTGGGACCCTCCCCTCCTGCCACAGGAAGGACAGCTGCCTGGGAAAAGAGGGAAGGAGGTTTGGAATAAGGGTTGGGCCCATGAGGACTATGTGAGTTGGTCTCAAGTCCTTAGGTGAGGCTCCTGAATAGCCAAAAAATTGGTGAGTCTCAGGTAGGTGTCTGGGGTAAGTGAAGGAAGGGGGCCAGCCCTCCCCTACAGGGGAGCTACTCTCACCAATTGGCAGGTCTTACTGGCCTCTAAGGCACAGAATGGTGTGCGTGTGTGTGCATGCGCACACGTGTCCTATACTCAAGACACAAGGTAAGGAGCAGTTGAAGGGGTACATAGGGTCCCTGACTCTGGGAAAGTAGAGGTAGGCAGAAGGTGAAGAAATTAAGCCACTCACTTCCAAAACATCCCTCCAAAAAATCCCAAAGGGGGGTAGTGTGATAAAGATCCAGAGGGTTTGGGCGTAAGCCTAGCTCAGAACCAATCTGTTGGGCACCTCAAGGCTCAGAAATCCAGTTTCTTTACCAGACCCTAGCCTGGGCCACCTGTGATTACAGTTGTGGGTGTTGAATTATGCAGAATGAGTGTCAGGAAGGTGAATGCTCAGAGCATGTGGCCTTCAGAGAAGGGACCCCCCCCCAGGCCTAACCCCCAGATCAGTCCTATCCCCTCTGCCACCAGCATGAGCACCAGCACCTCTGAGTCCACTGGCCACACCACCTGGCTGCTTGGGTCTCTGGGAAGACAGCAGTGGCAACAAAGCACCCTTGGCTCACAACTGCGGGGTCAGTCCTTCAAGCTGCTCCCAGAAACACTGGTTGCTTAGGTCAAGGCCTTTGGCTCCAAGCTCAGCACCCAATCCTGCCTGGGACGGCTGTCCGAACCCGTGTGTGCTGCCTGAAGCCTTAAAGAAAATAGAGACGGTGGCATCAAGATGCAGGAGAGCCAGACGCCCGGCTGGCAAGGCCTGGGAGGGGCCGTCAGCAGTGTGGTTTTCCGTCTCAGAGCAGAGTCTGGTGTCTGTCTCAGGGGGAGGCTCCTCCCCAGCCCGGCCTGGGAGAGTCCTGGCTGAAGGCAGGCTGGTTTGTGTGTAAGACGTCTGGCCCTGAGGAAGAGAGCACTTCAACACTGTCCGCACACTGAGCCAGCCCTGCGCTCCAGCCTCTGCCCCAGCCTTCCTGGTGGGCACGTGACCCGGGGCCATTTATGCTGGGTCCCTGGGTGCTAGTTGAGTTGGTCATACCCTGGTCTCTTTCTGTATAAGCAGAAGTGCTGAATGAAGAAGACAATATCGAAGAAAATGGAGAAGAGGCCGAGTCCAAACTTGGTTGGGTCTCCAAAGATCAGTGTCCACTGCTCTGTTAACAGTCACAGAGGACAGAGTTTGGGTTCAAGTTGGCAGCTCCTGAAGCAGCTGGAGCATGTGGGGCAGCGGGGCTGTGTGGGGTGGGGAGGTGTCCTCATCTGCCCAGAAAAACCACAAATCCTCCAGCTGCAAAGGCCCCTAGGTGAGTCTCCCCTGGGTGCTGGGACTGGGTTGGATTCCCAGGCTGAAGGGCTGGGGGGGGGGGGGGGGGGTGGAGAGGTATCCCGGGATGCCTAGCCCTACCCTGTGCCTCCAGCCCACCAGATGGGCAGGCAGCCCGCTGGCTGACTCACCATTGTTGTAGGACTGGAGGAACATCTGGAGGAGGCTGAAGCTACCCCCAGTGAAATCCAGAAGCACGTTACCAATGCTCCAGCCCTCGGTGCTTTTGTAGTAAAAGTTCATGTAGGCCTGGGTCAGACAGACAGAACGACGGCAGTGAGGGGGCTGGGTGGCTGCCTCTTAGACCTTGTGACCGTCACTCCAAACAAGAGCAGCTCTCATTCCTCCCACTCATGTGCTTGGGCCTCGGCATCAAGGAACACAGTGACCTTTGGGCTCTGACAAGTCCCCACCAGCAGAGGGAACAGTATGGGCGGGTCCCGGGGTCTCATGTGGGTGCACAGCCAACAGCTCTTCTCCTCGCATCCCACACCTCACAACTGCAAAGGAGGGGGAGATGTTGCTTCTCCATCTTTATCCTTCCCTGTTCTGGGGTGAAACCCTATTCTGGTTTTCTAGCAATTGATTTTTCTTCTCACTTCCAGTGAAGGAGAAACTCAGCCTGGACTTCATGTTGTGCTTATGAACATGGGCTAGAAGTCAATTTCCTGGTCTGGCATCCCAGCTCCACCTATGGAGGGAGGTTATCTTGGGAGTGTTACTGAAGTCCTAACTTCAGTTTTCCCCATCTGTAGAATAGACTTGACTCCCCCCTCAGCTCTGGCTGGGCTCTGGAGACTCCATCTCAGGCGTCCTAGGTTTAGTGGGTGGGTCCACTTGGACATCCCCCCACTTTCTGCTGCCACTGCCCCACATCCTTCCTCCAAAGCCAGAACCCTCTGGACTTCTCTGATTGGGGCAACCTCCCTATCACCCAAGAGGATGTGGCCTCTGTAGTGGTCTTCCCTCAGTCAGCCTCCTGTCAAGTCCCCTTCTTCATCCTCTCCCCCCCTCTTTCATGCTTGTGGCCACCTCTCTAGTCTTGGGACAATTCCAAACATCTGCAAGTGGAGCTCCTAACTCCTGGGTTGACCAGGCCCAAGCCTTCCCACACTCAGGGACTGTGGTCCCTACTTCCCTCAAGACCTCCCCCCGCCCACTCCGAAGCCTTCTTCCCCAGCCCCCTAAGGCCTGACCCTACCTTTTTAGCTTCAACAGTGCTTCTTGGTACCTCCCACACTCCTCTGACTGCAGACTGCTCCCAGCCTAGAATGCCCCCTCCTTTCTTGCCCACAAAATTAAGTCCTCCTCATCCTTAAGAGCCTGGATCTGTTTCCAAGCCCTCCAAGAGACAGGCCTGGACTCTGACCCAAATGCTCTCCTTCCTGAGCCCATGAGATACCAGGTTCCCTGCACTGGGGAAACTGAAAAGGAGGCGCCTCCATGGGAAATGGGGCTAGATTCCGGGGTGGAGCCCGCCAGTGGCCGCTGTCCCACGCCTCCCCCGGTCCTGGGCCGTATGGGCTAAGGGGGAAGATGTGCTGGACTCTACGTCTCTGTATCTGAATAGAACCCAGTACTTGAGGGAGCATGCTGAGGGTCCCTAAGGTGGACCCCGGATGGGATCTCTGGATGGGAGACAGAGGTCAGAGGTTGCAGTGCTGGGCTGCTTTCCCAAGTATCCTGCCACTGCTTGTCCGGGTCACCGGTTGTAGCAATGGGGGGCAGAAGTGATGTCCTTAGGAAAGATGGGATGGAGAGACAAGTGACCCGTACGACCTGACTCTCAGAGCTAAGCATGAGCTCAGAGAAGTCGCCACACTGACCCTCAGGTGGTTCCTGGCTCCAGGGAAGAGCAGCAGTGCTTATGGCCAGCTTTCTGCCTGGCCCTGCACTGGCTGGGCTCATGCCTTCCACTGCAGCTTTCCATGCACATCTCCTTACCCCAGCTAGAAGCTGCCCCATGCGAGCAGCACCCAGGCCCTGTGTCTCATCCCTCTCACGCTAATGGCCACGTGAAGAGTACCTGGGGAAAATACTTGACCAGCGTCACTGCGAGCTTGATGTAGGAGAAGCAGAAGAGAAATCGCAGCCATGTGATTACCCCAACTGCAGCCAAAATCACGGTGATGAGCACCAAGACCCAGGAGAGCACCAGGAAGCTGACGGCAGGCCAGGACACATGCTGGTTGCCTCGCTGAAGATGACCGAGAAAAGGAAAGGAAGTAGGTGGTAGGGGTTCGGGGGGTGGGCACAGAAAGCCCAGTACCAATCACACCCTTGTCGCTAGCAGGGTCTCTTGCAGTCCTTAGACTTTCCAGAGCCCATTTCTTCCTGTTCCCACACTGCAGAACTGGGTGCCTCTCGGAGGCCACCAGGAGCTGGGAATGTGGCCTGCAACACACTGGAGGCCTGTGCCTCATTCCATGATCCAGGTGGAGCCTGATCATCTCTGGAACCCATCCCTCACCGCTCCCTTCCCCAGAGCAGGCCTTCTTCACCAAGCCTCAAAGCAAAGGGTAAGAAAACCTAGAAAGTTTGTGAAGGTAGGAGCCAAGCAGTCCCTGGCTGACCTTGCATGTGCAGAGGGAGGTCCCTGAGGGAAGCAGTGTATCCAGTGAGAGAAAACGTACCTATCAGTGTGATTCCCTGAAAAGCGGCCTAATGGTGCCTTTCTCTGCTGAGATGCCCAACAGCCCTCCAGCACTCCAGCTGAGGCTGGTCTCCTCAGCATGGCACTGCAGACCCCTCAGGAGACCCCGAGCCCCATCCACACCCGTCTGCTCATAGTTCCTCTCGCTGTTCCTTGGCCTTCACAGCTCTGTCCTCCAGCTGGGGCTGCCCCACCCTGGCCCGCTTCCCCATTCCCATGGCAACATCACTTTCACTATGGACCACAACCCCATGCCACTTCCTTGATGCCCTCCTTCCCTCTCCTCCCTGGCTATGCCAGGGCCTCCATGAACCGCCTGTGTCCTCCCCGCCCGCTCAGCTCTCAGCCTGCTGGGTCATCACTGCCTCTCTGTGCCCCTCACCCCAGACCTGGGGTCCCGAGAGCACAGGGCCAGGCCTACTCTCTCAGCCTCAGTAAGTAGATGCTGACTTTCTGTGTCTTCTGTAACACGGGAGGTATGGCCAACAGGTGGTAGGGGTGGGTGTTGGCCCAGGGAGCCCGAGGTGGGGTGGGCACCAGATTCATCTCTCACCTCATAGAGGAAGCACTGCACCATGACAACCAGGGTGAGGGCGACTGCGTGCAGACTGAAGAAGACATCATTACTGTCCACGGGGTTCACCCCATTGGGGTATTTGAAGAAAAACTGCTCCTGGTTGAGGGGTCGGGAGAAGCTTGGGGGTGAGGTGCAGCCAGGCTACCAAGGAGCTGGGGCCGGGCTACAGTGGGCAGGCAGTGCCATACCTTGATGTAGGGTACCCAGAAGAGACCAATGTTGAACACGCTGTAGGCCACGAAGCCTGTCAGGTTCAGGGCCACGAAATCAAAGCTCAGACCAATGACACTGTGGCATGGGAGCAATGAAGAGACAAAGCAGGGCAAAGGGTGAGAATGGGGGGAAGGGAGGGGACAGAGCTCCCAACGCATGGGGAGGAGGGCCCAGCTCTCCCAAGGACAGCACCGTCCTCAGGTCCCTTTGCATCCCCCAATCAACGCCACCCAATCCCACCCTCTTGGGAACCAGTTACCTTCCTCCCCCCCTCCCTCCCTCGTCTCCTGCCTCTTCAAGTCCTGGCCCCAGAGGAAAGTCTTGAGCCTCCTCCACAGAGGAAGCATCTTCCCCCCGCTGGCTCCCAGCTCCGCAGCCCCCTACGAGGCCCATTTGATGGGGGTGACTGCAGGAGAGCTTGAGTTCTTGATGTGTGCAGAAACACAACTCCAGGCCCACTTTGTCTTTAAAGTCAGGGTGGGGCAGCTTAGCCTCCGAGGCTGAAGGACCCAGCTCTGGCACAGCAGCCAGACCTGCCACTAACTCCTCCAGGGCTGGGTGGACCAAGAACAGAGCAGATTTGGTGGACTCCCCCAACCCTGCCTAGTCTCCACTTCCCTGAAAAGCCCCATTTTGTTGCTTTCACATGGAGGAACTGAACTGGGCCACAGACCAAATGCCCGGAGCTGCAAGTCCTGCCACAGGCTCTTACAGCTGTCACACTGGACACTTTCTAGAAAGGGCAAGAAGAGAGAAGAGCAGAGGAGGAAAGTCTGAACCCATGCTGCCTACAGCCTCTCTGGGATGCCTCTCATCTTACTAGTCTCAAGTGACTTCACATAAAGCTTAGCAGGTTACCTTTTCCGCTTCCAGTTGGTGATCACCTGAGGGTAGAAGGAGATGGACCAGGCCACAAAGTAAATCCAGCCAATCACCTGGTTTATGATGCTAACGACATTACTGTGGATAACCAAGAAGTGGATCCTCGGGCTAGAAAGAATTTGGGGACTGAGATGAGCTGAGGCTGAGCCTGAGGGAAGCCCCCATGTACCCAACACTGCCTGCCTCCCGTCTTATCATTTAAGGTCCACGTGGGCTGAGGTCAGCCTACCCGGTCTGGTTGGAGTAATTTCCGTGCAGATAAACAGTAACTTGTCCAACATTTTGAGATGTCACTTGAAAAGAGGAATCTGTCACTCCGGGAGGCACCACAACCTGTTAAGAAAACTGAATTCGATCTGGTGCTACAGTTATTAGGACCTCACTGAGTATCCAGCTCCAGGCTACACTCTAGGGAATGATGGGACAGATCACACATGGTCCCTGCCTTCCAAGAGCTTACTAACAGGAGGGAGAAACACTGGACCAACTACTTGCGCCCCCACCCCCCAATACCCGTGTGTTAGACGTTCTGAGCAGAACAACAGCCCTGCCTTCAGGCCCTCCCCTGCCTCAACTACGAGGGAAGGTGGGATAGCTCGATCTCAGGCAAGTTATTCAAGCTCTGACCTCAGTTTGCTCACCTGTACAAGGGGATAACAGACGTGTCTACCTTCCAAGGTTGCTATGAATGGCACAGTGTCCATAAATACCATGACTGCTATTCTACTTCTGTTATAATGGAAGGCTCCTTAATACCCACAAACAATGTCTGCCCCATACCCAGTGTGGCTGCCAAGTGACAAAAGAGAAGACAGACACCTGTCGGGGAGAACATTCTTACCCTCCTTTCTGCCCAACACTTATCAAAAGCTCTGCTCCGAGAAACAGTACTTGGAGGCCTGCCTGCAATATCTGATCTCCCAGTCACCCGCCCCCACCCCCTGACATTCTCAAATCTCCCAAGTGTGGCAGGGAGCAGAATGATACCTTCCCTGAACCAACCGTCTCCTCCTCTTTGTTCCTTGGATATTGCTCTGGGCCCCAGACCTCTACCCATACCACAGGCACTGTGAGGATGCAGCCATTAGGATTCAGTGGCTTCTTTATGAGGACCCTGGAAGGACCATCTTTTTGGTTTTAGCTCCAGAAATCAGGGGGCCTTTGGCTGAACAAGTGAAATGGTATAAGCAGCTGCAGCAAAGCCCAGAGTCTGATTCATGGCCCACCTCTTGCAAGCTACATCCTCATGACATGTACTACTCTTGGCTACTTTTTCTTATCTTTAACAAGTTTTTTTTTGGCAATGTTGGTTGTATATTTGTAAGTGGCCACTAAGTCCCTTCAGGAACTAGGCAGGAAGAAAACTGGCCAACTGGAAATCAACTGATACGAGGCAAAAGGAAATCATAACTATCACTATCTTTTTTCAAATTATTATTAAGCTTTATTTTTAATTAATTTATTTTTTTAGAGAGAAAGCGCACAAGTGGGGAGGTGCAGAGGGAGGAGAAAAATCTTAAGCTGGCTCCACACTCAGCACAGAGCTTGGTGCGGGGCTTGATCTTACGATCCTGAGATCATGACCTGAGCTGAAATCAAGAGTCAGACACTTAGCCGACTGAGCCACCCAGGCGCCCCAATAAACTTTATTTTGAAAACAGTTTTAGGTCTACAGAATTTTATCACTATTTTTTACTGAGTGCTTTCTTTCTACATGCCAGATACAATTCTAGACATTTTATACTTGCTACAGCTTTTAATCCTCAAAACCCTGTCAAGTAGACATTACTAACCTTATGTCTACAGATGAGGAATCTGCGATGTAATGGGGGGAGTACCTTATCCAAGGCTCACGGGTCAGGCTTCTAGACTACCTGACCCCCCAGTTCTAACCAGTGGTTTCCAAAGGCACGGGGAGTAGATAGGAGTGCTCAGAGCTGGATGGGGAGGGGCCGTATAGGTTGGCCCCTGGAGAGTGGGTTGGCACCCATATAGATCATTTCTATAATTGGATTTGACCTTCCACATAATTTTTTAAAAATTATAGTTGGCATACAATGTTATCCACCATTAAATAGGTATGAAATTGAATTATAACATGTGCAGAAAAGTACACACATCACAGCTTGATGAAGTAACAACCACAAACCAAGATCAAACACTCAGGTCAAGAAATGGAACACTTCCAGCACCCTAGAAGCCTTATTCTGCTCCTTTCCAGTCACACCTGATCCCCAAGGGGAAACTGCTATGCTGACCAACACCACAGATTGGCCCTGTGTTTGCACTTTATGCCCAAGGAAGCGTACAGTGTAGGCTTCTCTACAGCTTTTTTTTTTTGCTTAAGACTGTATTTGACTTTTACTGGCCCTAAACTAGGTGATCAGCGTCATTCCTCAGACTCTAAATTTGATCTGTGGGTCAAACCAGACCTCAGCTGGGTGCCACAGTCTGCTCTAAGAACCAATGCCTTTTCTTACCCTGTAGCAGGCTTCATGCCCCAGGGCAGGGGGAAAGTTGTGAGAAATGGCTCTGTCTAATGAGGTGTGGTGTTCACCAGAGGGTGAGCGAGGACTGCCTTCCCACACAAGGCCCTTCTGGGTTGACACCCTTTATCTGATCACATGCTTCAGTACTGTTTTCTTGCCAGGGGCCTCACAGCCAACCTGCAGCCCATTTCTACAACCACACAGGGCCTCGTGACATGCTGCGTCGTTATCCCTGCATATAGCTTGTCTATTTTTTTTTTAAACTCTTGTTTATTCTCTACATTGCTGCCTTCCCTACTGATATTTTTTTATCTAGTCAATTGGCAATTGCTCAAATGTTGGTAAGGTAGAAGCAGTGCGTATATTAACAGATAAATGCATAAGGACTATGAATAGTTATTGTTAGATGGCATTTGGCACTGGCATTTGGCATTCCGACCAATGGAATCTTGGAAGAGTGCTTTGCAAACTTCAGTGTGGGCCTAAATCATCTGGGCATCTTGCTCATATGCAGGTTTTGAATCAGTAGGTTTGGGATGGGGCCCACGATTCTGCATTTCTAAAAGATTTTCAGGCAGGGACAGTACTGCTGGTCCGCCAATGCCCTCTAAGCAGCCAAGCTTTAGAAAGCTATCTTATTAAGAATTTCTTCTACAGGGCGCCTGGGTGGCTCAGTTGGTTAACCGTCTGCCTTCGGCTCAGGTCATGATCCTGGAGTCCCTGGATCGAGTCCCACATTGGGCTCCCTGTTCGGCGGGGAGTCTGCTTCTCCCTCTGACCCTCTTCCCTCTCGTGCTCTCTATCTCTCATTCTCTCTCTCAAATAAATAAATAAAATCTTTAAAAAAAAAAAAAAAAAAGAAAGAATTTCTTCTACATTCCCAGAACCATTTTTGCCTCAAATTTCTTACTACCACCTTCCTCATTCCATCTACATGGCATAAAATGGCCATCCTCAAAGAGATGAACAAAACCAAAATCAGAGATTTTTAGAATGATGGAACAGAACAGGAGCAGCCCACGGTATAAAAACAAGGTGGTCTATTTCTAAAAGCACTTTCTTAAAAAGTATTTTATTACCCAGCAGTTAAAATTCATTACTTACTTCATTAGGGAGCTCAAGGATAGTGACATTTTTTGAACGAAATGTGATTTGAAAAGTGATCACCAAGGTTGCATTTAATGGATGCCTGTGGAGAATAAGAGTCTGATTATTGCTGAGAAGTTGGACACTGTGAGATCTCAACCAACCCTCTGGATTTCACATAGGGCCTGTCACTGCTCAAGCAATTATAATTAAGTGCTATGTGCTAGGCCCTGAGTGGTAGAGGTGGGGTCCTTGCTCCTAGGAGCTTTCCATTGGTATTGGGAGACAAGAGGCCCACAGGGGCCAGGTGAGAACATGAGAAGGTGGGGAACAGGTTGTGACTGCCAAATCGGGTGTCCAGAGGCCAAGAGGACCATGCCATCTGCTCTGGTAGAGAAGGCTTTAAAGGGCTCGGGTCTGAGCAGGGACCGTTGTGTCCCCAGAAAGCCAGGAGAAATGTCCAATGGGAGTAGCTGGTGGTGTCCTCAAGTGTGAATGTACAGACCGGGAGTGAATTTGGAAGGCCATGGAAAGCCACTCGAGGATTCTGGAGAGGGGCGGTGTGGTAAGGGGAAGGCTTGTCAGATTTATAAGGTGTCCATGTAGAGGGGTGGCAGGAGCTGGGATGGAATGCAGGTTGCTATCAAAGCTTTGGTTTGAGAGCAGACTTCCCAGGAGAGGTGAAGAAAAGGGAGAAGGTAAAGAGAAAAGGCAACGTTCTAGATCTTGGGGAATCCTCACGGCTGGCAAGAGTAGGGAGAAGCAGTAAAGGACAAGGGAAGAGGCAGGCTCTCTGGCAGTCTGTACTAGGTCGGCACCTCACGCCTGAACCAGCAGAGGTTCGCCAGTAAGACACTCAGAAAAGGCCAAGCGGGAATGTCACCGTGAATGGGATCCACTCAATAAGGTCACTTCTGCTTTCAGAAGGGATCTCAGAAGTGCTGCCGAACAGCTCCTTGCCCCCTGACCTTCAGGGCACTCATCAGATACTTAGAGCCTTGGAAGGGACCACTCTGAGCTCTGGCATCAACTGCTGGTCACTCAAGGCCAGCTCTCAGCTGGGGAAAAGGTTCATGTCTCTAGGGGGAAACCCGCTTCCTCCTCCTCCGACCAGAAACAAGGATTCAGTGGCCGGGAGTAGAGAGACTCTAGGACCTAAGTCTGCACACCACCTGCTATCACCTCTCTTTCTCTGGCTTGTTTTTTTTTTTTTTTTTTTAAAGCTTATTTTATTTTCTCAGGAGAGAAGGGACTTGATACCACCATACAGAATATCCACTGTCCCTAGGGTTCTCTGGCTTGTCTTAAAGTGAAGAGGCAAAGCTATCACATTTGAAATATGAACAGACAGAACCAGGGGTCAGCCTTGACCTGCCATGGGGTGAATGAACAGGGCTGATGACAGAGTTGGGCCCGGGAACTTACTGAAGCGTGATGCTGATGTTGGCTGAGCTTCCATTTTCCAGCTTCACAGTGGGAGGAACAGTGAGGTCGACTGTCGACTCTGGAAGGACCCAAACCAATGACAAATTGTTAGGTCAGAGAACTCAGGCTCCCAGGGAAAAACTGGGATGAGGCTCCTCAACATCTGAACTCATGAGCTCTGACTCATGACAACCCCCATCTTCTAGAAGAAGACATGGAGGTCCTGAGAGGGCAGGTGATGGGCCTGGAAACCTGAGCCTTCATTATGCTCTCTCCCCTTCTGCTGCCAGAGAGAGGTAGACACAGGCCTGAGCAGGAAACACCGCAGCTGCTTCTTCCCCACACTGAGAGGTCTGAGGCTGAGTTATCCAGAGTTTTAGAACAATGGAGCCCCAAAATTGTCACACAGGAATTCATGCATCGATCTGGGACTGAAAAATGTGGACCTGAACCACCTCTTCAGATGGGAAAGCACAGGGGTCTCCTCTGTTCATGGAGCTAAAATGGCCCTGCAGCACTGGTCCAGCCCCTTCCTGTACTCTCAGAGACACACAGGGCCCAGCTATCCTGTTTCTAAAGAACCCCTGTGGGCTCTGTACTAACTTAGCCAAACCCATTCACTGATCCCCTTCCTGAGACTGACTCTGCTGGGGAGTGGGGGGAAAATGGTGTATACCACAATCTCACTATCAGGGATTTCTTCTTGGCATTAAGGTGTTAATGCAGGATAAGGTAGACAAATTGGCCTTGGGAGTGAGGGAGGAAGCAGGTTTGGGAGGCCAAATACCCCAGAGCAACTTGGCCATAGAACCAGAGTGAGTGAGCCTCTCCCTGACCTCTTCCTGTGTTCTTTGGGCAGCCCACACTTGCACCCCACCCTACTCCCAGGTGCACTCAAAGCCCCAGGCCCCTGTCCACTTCACCTCCCTTACCTCAGGGCCTTCAGGGTTATGCAAGGACTAAGGAGTGGTCATGAAGCTAGACTGGGCAGGAAGAGAGCCCATAGGGGAAAGGAGCTTAACTTGATTAGGATGGTCCTCGTAGGGGGAGCAGCTACAGGCAGGGCCCAGGTTTCTCTCTCCCCAGTTCCCTCTAGGCAGAAGATAAATAAGATCTGAAGTTTTAGGTGTTCAGGTTGAGGGGAACTTAAAAGTTCCCTGATATAACCTCCACTGTCTGATCCCTTTTTTCATTACTCCTACCTGGAAGTTGCCCTTCCTCTGCCTAAACACCTCCCAAGAATAGTGACCTCATCTCCTGCAAAGGATTTGGCCAGCCTGGAACTTGTACTTCTGGGCCTGGCTCTGAGAGCTGCCTTCTCCATGACAACCCTGCACACATGAATGCAGACACATGCTCTGTCACCTGCACGCCTCCAAGCTGAGACTCCCACAGTCTGAGGTCTCAGCACTCTCCTCACACCTGCCTGGCATCCCACCGAGTGGGCATGTCCCCACGTTGGCCCACTCACAGCTGAGTAGGACGACCCCTCCCTTATGTGTAGCCTCAGGGCCTGGAGGCAGCTTTGCAACTCTGCCCCTTCTTTTTCACAGTCTGATAGCAACCTGAGGCTTTGTTCTGGGCTTGCACAGCTCGGGGGCAGTAGGACTTAAGGTCCCTGATGTTACTTTCTACCTAGAGTTGAGGACCACACCAGAGAAGCAAAACCATTGACCAGACAGTGCCCAGGACAGAGATATTGAAAGTGATGCCAGGCAGCCCCCCACACCTCTGGGGCAACCCATAACCTCTGGGGCCCGAAGGTTCTGCTGGGCTGTGGTCACGGTGAGAGGTCCGCATGGCCTTTGCTCTTCCATATTCTTTGCACTTTACAAGAGGAGGCTGTGAGCACCTGAGAACCAGATCAGGTAGTTTACTTTCCCCTCACTTAGAGCCAGTGAAGACAGTGGCTCTTAGCAGCTGAGAGACTGGGCTCTGAAGTCACACGGTCCATCCCGGCTTTGTCCCTTCCTTGCTCTTAACTTCTCTATGGGGCTCTAGTTCCTCACCTGTAAGATGGGGAGAACAGCACCATGTATTTCACATGGGGCCGTGAAGACACAGTGTGGGAGTGTTTGTGACACACTTCCCATGTGGCCTGAGTGCTAGATGATTGCTGGTGTCTGTTCTCATCATCATGTAAACACTGTAGGACATTTTCAAGCCCAAGATGGAAGGCAGTTATGAAGCAGGCATAATTTCCAGAGAGAGCATATTTTAAAGTTTGCCCTTGGGCAAGAGTCTTGGGACACCACATCAGAATTACCAAACAAGTCTTCATGAAACCAACTGAAGTTTCCCCTAAGGAAGGGTCTTTTTTTTTTTTCAAAGGAATACTTATTGGCACCCTCCACTGTGCTCCCCATCCCACCCACTCTGCCTCATGCCCCATTCTCTAATTATTGTAACAGTGAGAGGTGGGTATTATCCTTCCCAATTTGGATATAAGGAAACAGAATCCCAAGAGGGCAAGTGCCTTGCCCACATAGCTCAGACATGATGGAGGCAGGATTCAAACCCAGGCCTGTCTGGTTCAAGGCCCAGCTTCTTGCCACTAGGTGGCAGTGCCTCAAGATTCCACCCAGAGAAGTCAGAGACCGATCATCTCATCCACAGTCCTTGATGACCAATCCCCAAAGCAAAGAAAGAGAAGACAAGCAGAATGAGCTCAGAACCCCAATTCTAGTCACTTGATTTTATGGTGTTTCCATTACTCTTTTTCAATGACATTCAGGAAAGGAGGCAAAGAAGTAAAACAGAGCAGGGATCCCATGCAGGTCCCACCTTTGGGGACTCTGTGACTTTGGGGAAGACTTTTTGGGTCGAAGTTTCCCCTCTGTATAACTGAGGCGGTGGTGGCCAGATGTGTTCTTCTTTCCTGGGCTTTATCTAAAGCCTGACAGTGCAGAGCAGGTCTGGAATGGGGCTCTGGAATTCGTATGGAGAAACACCAGGCTTCATGGTACCCCCTTTCCGTTCTTGGAAATTGTTTATTCACAAGGTGTGACTGCAAAGTAACATGACTGATTGTTTAATGAATCTGGAAGAGCCTTCAAGTGGCCACATAACTGTAAATGGTACAGCCACTGTGTACAGCTCTCAGGGGGCTTCTGTAGGATTTGTACTGTTTGTATAAAGGTCATTTGAAATCCTTAGGGATTTCAAGATATATTTGATTTTTTAAAAAAGATTTTATTCATTCATTTGACAGAGAGAGAGAACACAAACCAGGGGAGCAGAGAGGGAGAGGGAGAAGCAGGGAGCCCGACATGGGGCTCGATCCCAGGACCCTGGGATCATGACCTGAGCCGAAGGCAGACGCTTAACCGACAGCCACCCAGGCACCCCAAGATATATTTGATTTTTTTTTTTAAAGATTTTATTTATTTATTTGGCAGAGAGATACAGAGAGAGAGCAAGTAGGCAGAGAGGCAGCCAAGAGGGAGAGGGAGAAGCAGGCTCCCCGCTGAGCAGGGAGCCCGATGCGGGGCTCGATCCCAGGACCCAGGGATCATGACCTGAGCCGAAGGCAGCCGCTTAACCGACTGAGCCGCCCAGGCGCCCCAAGATATATTTGATTTTTGACAACAGCTAAGCTGATGATCAAAATAACCAGCCTGCCATCCTAGGAGTGCTAAACACTTTCCGTCCTCTTCATGGAAGGAATTTCAGCAATGTTTTAGGCAGTGGAAGAACTGATAGAATGATGCAGACCTCTAACGGCCCTGCTGCTCTTACAAACCTCACAAGGATGCCCAAACCCCAAGGTATTTTTTGACAACCAGCCTATGTTATGTGAGGCCCCTAGCCGCACTTGGGCTGCTGCATCCTGTTCTTGGTTTTCTCTCTAAAAGGTTTTTCCATCTTACAAGGGGATGCCTGGCAGACTCCTCAGGTATCTGAACCTGACAGAAGAACCAGGTGCTACAAGATGGCCACCTCATTTGCTTCTGCAGCATCTCCTAGGACCTATAATTCCTTTTGTGAGGTCCACAGAACAGGGAGTTGTTGAAGCTCTGTAGTTTTAACTTTGGTGGTACAGAAAAGGTAACAGGGACCCCATGGAAGAAGGTCAATTATTTGTGAAAGTCCTGAACCCCAGACCTGGGTCTGCTCCACCACCCAGTGGTCGTTTGGCCAAGGAGCCAGCAGACATGCAGTCTGGACAATCCTAAACCCTTGGCTACGAACAGGTCTGGCTACTTACTCTATTGCACCATCTCCCTCTTTACAAAGTTGATGACCCATTTCTAAACTCACCACATTTCTCTATGAGCTTCAGGGGAAGAAGGGTAAAAATAATCAGCCAACTCCTTATCATGTTCCTCAATTTCAAAGAACTAGGAAGAAAAACAAACAGGAAGAGAAGTTCAGGTTAAAGTTGGAGCAGCTCAGCAACAAATGGACCATGGCACAGACAGTTCATAAAGGGCTTTCACCTCACACCAGTGACCTCACATGCTTTGCATCACCAGGTGACTGGGGGGTGGGGTGTGCGGAACATAGCTTTCTTTGATATGTGGAGCCATGGGCTCAGAGAGGCTAAGTGTTTTGTGTAAGGCTCCACTCTGAGGAAGGAGACAAACACCAAATTTTTCCCTCTTCAGCTGCTTCTTGTAACCTCGTTAACCAAAAGAAAGATTGTAGTTTTATTGGCTGGGGGTCCTTTTTTTCAAAAAGTTATCCAAATTGTGGTCAGATATTTGACTTTGTGAACTTATGAACCTTAAGGAAATTAATTTCATTCCTTGTCCTGGGTCAAAAGCCAAAGGGGCCAATGCCACCAACTGACACCAGGTTAAGACTTTTTCATTTGACAAGTGTCACCTCTCCAGGACTGGCAGGGATCACTCATAATGGGGACCCAGTGTGGGAGGAGCCCCAGATTAGCCCAGGGGAAACTCATTGGTTAAGTGAGGGAGATGCACTACATAACACCAAAACCCCAATGCACAGCAGGTGAACCACGTGTCAAGATGGGGCAGGTCAGCATGGATATCTCTAACTTGGTCTGTACATGCTGCCTTGGCATGCAGAGCCTAGGCCCTCCCACCTGACAGCCTCTGGGGAGTCCCATGGGGAGAGCTAGGAGTGGTCTGTGTGGAAACACCTCTCTGATTTCAGTTTTCCCCAAAGGCCTCAAGGAACCTAGTACACCCCTCCCTTCAAAGACATCTTCCTGACTACTCTAGCCTGCCTGATCTCTGCCTGTTCCTGTCTCCTCCAGGGGCCTCTCTGCCTGGGCAGCTCCCTTTGATCTGTTAGATCTTACTTCAGGAGCTTTCCCACCTGCTGGCATTGACCTGCTCTGTCTCTGGCCTCCTCTGGATCCTTTGCCTTTGGTGCTGTATCCCTGTGCTCCCTACCACCCACTTTCTGTACTCTGACCTGCAGGGAATTGCTCTGCTGTGTCTGTGGAGTAAACACGGGTCTCCCGTGCACTCTTGCCACTCTCTGCTCCTCACACCTGCCTGTGTCCTTATGTTCAGGATTCAGAATGTCCCTCAGGGTAGAGTCTGGGTTTTCCCCCAGAAATCAGATATGAATCAAGCCTAACCAGCTCCTCTCTCATCCTGCAGGAGTGGAATGTGGACTAAGAAACTAAAATGTTTGGTCAGCAAAATTCCCGCCCCCGCCTGCCCGTCCCAGAGTCTGAGATACATACCTTGCAGGAAAGACACCAGGACAGATAGACATTGAGAGGTAAGTCGATTAAAATTAAAATGTCAGAAAAATGTCAGGGTGATAGTTATACACTAAAACTATGTCTTATGAATGCTACAAGGTAGAAATGTAGAATTTCACGACAATGGGCTCTTTAGGGCATGCCCCTCTTCCTGGGTTAAGTTCTCTCAGGCGTCACTCAGATACCATTTTAAGAGGTCTCCCTCTCCCAAACCATGCATTCCCGGAGCAACCTGGGGTCAGGGGTCTCCAGCTCCTGTCAAGTATCTGACTTAATCCTGTCAATTGTTTTACAACCTGGAACTCCTTGAGTCTCCTTCTCTTGTAGGACAAGTGTCAAGAATGTGTGCCCTGCAGACGGACTGCACAGGTTTGAACCTGGGCTTCCCATTTATTGTGTGACATTGGGGTGCTACTTAACCTCAAGCTTCAATTTCCTAATGTGAAAACAAGACAGTGAGATTACATTATAGGACTTAAATGAGATGAAATGCATAACATGGCTTGTGGCCCTCCAAAGGGCCACAGTACACAAACAGACTTAATCAGTGGTATTAAAACTTCATGGTGGTGGGGAGGAGTTCATTAGGAAAAAAGGTTGAGAAACAATGTCGTAAAATGATTACTACCGTTGCCTCGGGCACCTAGCAAGCTCTCATAAAGCACAGGTGGTTATTTTTCTCAATTCTGTTGAAAAGGGTAGCCAGTCAGTTGTCCTCCCTTCCCCCGGCCTGAAAGCCCCGGAACGCAGGGCGGGGTCTCATTCTGCCCAGTTCCCCAGAACCCAGACCCGCGCCGAGCACACCAACGGGAGTTCGTGGAATGGGCTTTTTAGCACCTCCTCTCTCCAAAGTAATCCGCCAACTCCGCGACCCAGATTTAGGCGGCAACTAACCAGGAGGCGGGGAGGGGGCTCGGACTTGCACTGGAGTAGAGCCACCCACACCACCTCGGCAGCCCAGGGTCCCCTGCCTCCGCTCACCACCACGCGGGCCTTCCAACCCGGAGGCTGTCTGGTGTCTCGAGGCCGGGACCGCCTGTAGGTGATGGAAGCCTGGCGCGGCTGGAGGGGCACTAGACGCGCGGCAAGATTCTCAACCGACTTACACTGCCAGTCTTTAGCCCTCTCGGGGTCCGCCGGGTAAATGGGGGGAGGCTGTTGGGGCCGCGCCGACGCTCACCTGAGATCCTCTAGGCTCAGGGCAGCGACCACAACGGACGCTGGATCCGTTTTGGACTGTACCGGCTTCCCCCGGCAGCCAGACTTTGGGTGAGGGCGGGCCAGAAGTCACCTGACTCCAGCCACCTGATTCTCGGCTAGCGGAGTTCGGTGCGATGCACGCTGGGAACTGTAGTTGGGCAGGGCTGCGGCGCGGAGCAGAGGGGCCCAGCGCCTTGGCAAGGATGGGGGCTCGGGTGTGTGGGAGGCTTAAACCACTTTTAGGGACACAGAGCCTCCCGGAGCCCCCAGTGCCTGTCGGCGAACTCCGCGACACCACGGTGAGCGAGGCCGCGGGAGGGCTCCGCCGTCTTAGAACGGCCGCCGCGTGGAACTGGGCCCTCTAGGTCCTGCCTTCCGCCGCCTCTTCGCCTGTAGGCGGGGTCTGCCGGGACGGCGCGCGGGGCTCCGCCTTCCTCGACCAATGGGAAGGCCAGAAGCCTCCATGCTGGGTGTGGCTGAAGGGCAGGCCCCGCCTCGGCTCCTGGGAACCCGCCGGAGCGTGCAGGAGGGGGCGCCACTCCCCCAGACGTCGGCTGCGCGGCGCTCCGAGTCTATGGCTGCGCGGCCCGTCATTCTCGGCATCGACCTGGGCACTACGTCTGTGAAGGCGGCCTTGGTGGAGGCCGTGCCCGGCGACTCATCGGGGTTTGTGGTCCTGGCGAGCTGTGCCCGGGCTGCGCGGGCCGAGGCGGCGGCCCAGAGCGCGGCTGCAGGGCCCCAGGTGAGGCAGTGTTCTGGAGCGGCGCCGCCTCGGGAGCCGCTCTCGTGCTCTTCAGAGGAGGCCTCCTCGACACCCATCTTCTCCAAAGAAGTGTCCCTGGTTTCTCCAGCCTGCCTGGCCTCTGCCTGCCTGCTGTAGCTCCTTCTGGTCCGTTAGGCTTCGTCCCAGGAGCTTTTCCCACCTGCTGACCCCGATCCGGCTCCCTGGCGTCTGGGGGCCTTGCTTAATGGCGCTCTATCCCCGTGCTCTCCGCCTTCCACTTTCTGTACTTTGATCTGGGGAAATTGCTCTCCTTGTGTGACCTCGGGCCTCCCTCTTGTTCTTGACCCCTCTGAACCTCACACCTGCCGGTATCCTCAAGTTCAGGATTCAGTCTGTTCCCCGGGGCAGAATTTGGGTTTTCCTCAGGAACTAGGACTGTGGAATCAGGGCCTAGGCGGCTCTTCTCGTTGGGCAGGTGGACTGGGGAATTCAAACACTTGGTCAGCAAAGATACCAGGACCCAAAGGCTGAGACACCTTGGAGGAAGGACTGCTCAGACAGAGACAGGAGAAGAAGATCGGACGGATCATTATACATTAAAACTAGTGTCTAGTGAAAGCTACAGGGTAGAAATGGAGAATTTCGCCACAGTGGGATCTGTTTGGAGATGTGGGTTCAGGAAGAGCATCAGTTCTTAGAGCTGGATTCCATTAATTCTCTGAAAAAGGTAGCTCTATGTTCAGTTAATTGACAATAGAAATTAGTATCCAGGAACTTTCTGTGTACCTTATTACTTTTTTTTTTTCTGGATTTCTGCTTCTTCTCCCAGTTGAAATAGGTGGCCTCCTTAAGGCGCTTTCCAGCCCTGACCCTGAGTTTTCTAAGCCCCACTCCCAAGGGCTTGTTTTTCACAATCTTTTGCCACTTACCTAGACTCAGTTCTTTAGGGTTCAGAGTCCGTCTTGCTCAGAAACATTTCAGAGGGTAAAGAGTTCAGGAGCACTTTGCATTTTCATAGAGACTCAAACTTAGTTTGATGAGGGCATCAGGGTATTTTAGAATGATTATTTCACCACATGGACTATGAAATGGAGGCATGTTCAGCTCTGACCTTGTGGGGGTAAGCGGCAGAGCTGGGATTACAGGGAGTAGGTTTAGGCACTGCCCTTTTTTCTTGAAATAAAGCCACTTTTTTTTTTTTTTTTTAAGTGGGCTTCCTGCTCAGCGTGGAGCCCAGTGGCGGGGCTTGAATTCACAACCCTGAGATCAAGACCTGGGCTTGAGATCAAGAGTTGGATATCCAGCTTAACGAACTGAGCCACCCAGGGGCCCCAAAACAGGGTCACTTCTTGAAAACTACTTTCCCCGCTTTGCACAGCCTACAGCGGGCTGTTCTGTGTTTACAGGCACACCATGTGCCACACCTGACTAATGAGGGGTTTAGGAGAGGCCAGGAATAGCCGCCCCCCTTGCATCCTCCACGTGTGTTTTGTGCTCTGGGACAAACAGTATTGCTGTAATTTATAGCAAGATTTCTCAGCCTTGGCACTGTTCATACCTTGGGTTAGATGATTCTTTGTTGTGGGGAGATGTCTTGTGCATTGTAGGATATTCCGCTGGCCTTTATGTACTACATGCCAATAGACCCTTCTACCCAGTTGTGACACCCCAAAATGTCTCCATGTTGCCAAATGTACCCTAGGGGACAAACCACCCCTGGGGTGAGGACCACTGAGCTACAGAAATGCCTGATGACTCTCCTTTCCTTTTCCTTCCATACTTTTTACTCTTAAGAAGTAGTGTATACACCAAGGTCAAGCTTGGCGGCTGTATGGAAAGTCAGGCTTTTAGGTATTTGCAACTTTAAAATACCAGGATTTTTGAGGGAATCTCTGTGACCCTTTCTGAGTTACTAATTTCTTCTTTCTAGGCCTCAGTTTCCTCATCTGTAAAGAGGGGTGTGGGGGGGCGCCTGGGTGGCTCAGTTGGTTAAGGGACTGCCTTCGGCTCAGGTCATGATCCTGAAGTCCCGGGATTGAGTCCTGCATCGGGCTCCCTGCTCGGCGAGGAACCTGCTTCTCCCTCTGACCCTCCGCCCTCTCATGTGCTCTCTCTCTCATTCTCGTTCTCTCAAATAAATAAATAAATCTTAAAAAAAAAAAAGAGGGGTGTGGGGGAGGAAGGTTGAATGAATTTCTAAGTTCTTTCTCAAATCTAAAGTTTTAGGATTTCATTTGGTTGTAGAGGGATGGATATTCTGAACCAAGGAATGGGGGCAGCACTTTTCCTATTACAGTGTGGGTATACCCATTGTCTGAGAGCTACTCCCTGATCACATTCACCACTAAAACTCGAACTAATTGCTGAACACTGACTGCCCCCTTGTCTTCACTTCCACCTGGCCCATTTCCCTCCTCCACCATCCCCACCTATGCAACTCACCCACCCTGGGCCCATTTGAAACAGTGGCTCCTCTGTCTTGGATTGATGCACTGTCTGAGGCTGTGTGGGAATTCTTTAGCAGCATCCAAAAGGAATTCTAGCCACAAATGTGACCCACACCTGTAATTTTCAGTTTTCTAGTATTAAAAGTAACACTTGAAATTAATTTTAATTGCATATTTTAGTCCAATGTATCCAATGTACTATCATTTCTATTTTTTATTAAAATTTTTTATTGTTATGTTAATCACCATGCATTACATCATTAGTTTCTGATGTAGTGTTCCATGATTCATTGTTTGTGCATAACGCCCAGTGCTCCACGCAGAACGTGCCCTCTTTAATACCCATCACCAGGCTGACCCATCCCCCCACCCCCCTCCCCTCTAGAACCCTCAGTTTGTTTTTCAGAGTCCGTCGTCTCTCATGGTTTGTCTCCCCCTCCGATTTACCCCCCTTCATTCTTCCCCTCCTGCTATCTTCTTTTTTTTGGTTTCTTACCATATATTGCATTATTTGTTTCAGATGTACAGATCTGTGATTCAACAATCTTGCACAATTCACAGCGCTCACCATAGCACATACCCTCCCTGATGTCTATCACCCAGCCACCCCATCCCTCCCACCCCCCACCACTCCAGCAACCCTCAGTTTGTTCCCTGAGATTAAGAATTCCTCATATCACTGAGGTCATATGATACATATCTTTCTCTGATTGACTTATTTCACTCAGCATAACACCCTCCAGTTCCAACCATGTTGTTGCAAATGGCAAGAGCTCATTCCTTTTGATGGCTGCAAAATATTCCATTGTATATATATATATATCGCATCTTTTTTTTAAAAAAGATTTATTTATTTATTTTGAGAGACTGAGAATGAGAGAGAGAGAGAGAGAGCACATGAGAGAGGGGAGGGTCAGAGGGAGAAGCAGACTCCCCGACAAGCAGGGAGCCCGATGCAGGACTCGATCCCGGGACTCCAGGATCATGACCTGAGCCGAAGGCAGTCGCTTAACTGACTGAGCCACCCAGGCGCCCTATATCACATCTTCTTTATCCATTCATCTGTGGATGGACATCTTGGCTCTTTCCACAGTTTGGATACTGTGGACATTGCTGCTGTAAACATTGGGGTGCACATACCCCTTCAGATCCCTACATTTGTATCTTTGTGGTAAATACTCGGTAGTGCAATTGCTGGATTGTATGGTAGCTCTATTTTCAACTTTTTGAGGAACCTCCATACTGTTTTCCAGAGTGGTTGCACCAGCTTGCATTCCCACCAACAGTGTAGGAGGGTTCCCCTTTCTCCACATCCCTGCCAAGATCTGTCGTTTCCTGACTTGTTAATTGTAGCCATTCTGACTGGTCTGAGGTGGTATCTCATGGAGGTTTTGATTTGGATTTCCCTGATGCAGAGCGATGTTGAGCACTTTTTCATGTGCCTGTTGGCCATTTGGATGTCTTCTTTGGAAAATTGTCTGTTCATGTCTTCTGCCCATTTCTTGATTGGATTATTTGTTCTTTGGGTGTTGAGTTTGGTAAATTCTTTATAGATTTTGGATACTAGCCCTTTATTGGATATGTCATTTGCAGATATCTTCTCCCATTCTGTTGGTTGTCGTTGGGTTTTTTGGACTGTTCCTTTGGCTGTGCAAAAGCTTTTTAACTTGATGAAATCATTTTTGCCCTTGCTTCCCTTGCCTTTGGCGATGTTTCTAGGAAGAAGTTGCTGCGGCTTAGGTCGAAGAGGTTGCTGCCTGTGTTCTCCTTTAGGATTTTGGTGGACTCCTGTCTCACATTTAGGTCTTTCAACCATTTGGAATCTATTTTTGTGTGTGGTGTAAGGAAACGGTCCAGTTTCATTCTTCTGCATGTGGCTGTCCAATTTTCCCAACACCATTTGTTGAAGAGACTGTCTTTTTTCCATTGGACATTCTTTCCTGCTTTGTCAAAGATGAGTTGACCATAGAGTTGGGGGTCCATTTCTGGGCTCTCTCTTCTGTTCCATTGATCTATGTGTCTGTTTTTGTGCCAGTACCATACTGTCTTGATGACAGCTTTGTAATAGAGCTGGAAGTCCGGAATTGTGATGCCGCCAGCTTTGCTTTTCTTTTTCAACATTCCTCTGGCTATTAAGGGTCTCTTCTGGTTCCACACAAATTTTAGGA